CTTAATTTTAAATTTTAGCACACCTGCAATGTCTAGTTTGCTATGTGAGGGGACACAGTCACCAATTTCAGGATTGACATGAACATCTGTGGCACCCCCTCCACCACCTTCCCCCTCCTCCTACAACAGGGAGGGAAGCATTATTCCACCTGAAAGGCCAGCCTGTGACCTTCATGACCTCACATGAAATAAGGGAGGGATGGAGGTAGACAAGCTGGGGACCTTGATCTCATTCTCAGTTGGAGTTGAGTAGCAATTTCCCCTTTGAAATAGGTGATGCTCATCCATCATCCTGGATGGAGAATTGCTGACCTGCAATACCTGGTCCTCACTCCCCAGCTCCTGGGTTGCAGACCCTTCTGACTTCCCATAATGCGTGTCTACAGGCTGGACTCGGGGGGCTGTGGGCTATGGGTTTCCACCTCTGTGGAGCAAGGAGTTACTGAATAAATGATGAAGCGTCAAGGAATTCTTGGCTCTTCCCAGATACCTGTTTGCAAGTAGGGCCTGGTACATGTTTCAGCAGCTCAGTGCATGTTGTTGCTTATTTAAGAAAAGCTGGTCTTACCCAGAATTTGCCAAACAGAAATGAGGGGGTGTTTATTTGTATCACAAAGGGATTTAGTTTGTTTCTTTAAATAGACAGCCTACTACTTTTCTTTAAAGTATTTTAGTTAATGGGAAATTTGATTTGCACAACTTTCCAGAAACACATAGTATAAAGGAAGTACCTGTACTAGAAGCTCATCCACTTACCAAAGTCTGTCCCCAGCTTCTCTGATGTTGCCACAGAGGTGCCTGGCCTGCTGGTCCCATCTTGGTGGGGGATGGATTATTTGTTTCAATGGCAAATTGGAAGGTTGTGTAGCGACTGGCTACACCTCCCAGGGAGGTGGGATGTGGAAGGCCACCCTTGACTGCCTCTGCCTGGAGCTGCCTGGGCCTTCATTTGTTCCTGTGGCTGAGGACAGTCATTCTTTTGCCAAACATTTATTTACTGAATACCTATTATGCAGCAGGAATTGTGGTGTATACTGGGGACCGAGAGATGAGTCCCCTCTCTTCCCCCAAAGAGAGGAAGGATGAAGAAGATCATCACTGATAGTTGGGCTATTTTGAATAAAACTTCTGGACTGAAGCAACAACTTGTAAACGGAGGGGTTGCAGTGGGGCAACTATCCTCAATAGTCCTGGGTCGAGGAAGAAATTAAAACACTAAAAATAGACCACTTAGAAACTTAAAATAGTGATGGCACTAAATATACAATGTAGGGTGCAGCCAAAACTGTACTTATAAGGAAGGTTTTTAGTTTTAACAATCTTTAAATTTTTAATGCTGAGACATGGGAGTAAATGCACTGAGCTGGGTATTGGAGATGCTTTAAAAGTGACTAATAAGCAAGAACAGCAGGTATTTGCTGAGCACTCAGGACGCTTGAGTGTTGCTCTGAGCATGGATCGGCCCATTTAATTCTGACCACACCACCTTGATATGGCTAATATTATTATCACTGTCAGTTTTTTCAGAAAGGAAATTGAAGCACAGGGAGATGAAGATAATGCATCTAGGGATTATGGTGTGCAGATGACGGATGCAAGATTCACAGCCAGCACCTGACTACAGATATATGCTCCCAACCAAGAAGTACAAACACAGATTAGTAGTACAAATAAAAGGAACAGTAGCAACAGTAAAGTCAGGGAAAAACCCACGAGGGTGGATAAATACACCCATGATTTGCTGCTTTAAAATGAAAACAAAACAAACAAAAAAACAAAACAAAACACCAACAGCAACACAGAAGACAAGCCTCTGAAAAGTTAAAAAAGAAACTCCCTAACAATATAATAAAAAGGAAGAATGATAAAGGGCAAATTATCACCCCAGTGACACAGTTAAGCCTGGCTAAGGAGAACACTAGGGACTATTTCCAAGGGAAATAAAAGTCCCAAAGTTAGTTTGAGAAGAGTGAGGGAGTGATGAATTGGCAACATCTTCAAATAGTGCAGGACTGTCTGATATCTCTCTTTCATTCCACATTGTTCTGAAGATATGGTAAGGGGGGAAGAAGCATGTCTATCAGGAAGGAGAAAAGAAATATATTACTGGGGATAATGTGATTCTCTCCATGGAAACTTCAAAGCAAGCAACTGAAAACTCATAAAAACTATGATGAGTTTAAAAATGCTTGCAAAGTAAATATACCAAAAGATGCATTGCTTTCCTATTGTGAACAGTAATGGATTGGAAAACAAAGGGGGAAAAATGTCCAAATCACAAGAGTGTGAAAAAGACTCCCTCAGATAATACTAAATGAAAAATGTGAAGGACTCATGGAGGAAAAGACCACTGGGGAAAGGGAAATAGATTTTCAACAAGGGGACACGTGTCCTTCCTGATAGCAAGACCCATTGTCTGGCCCTCCTGGGTGGTGCAGTGGGTTGGAACGCAGCACTGGGAAGCTGTTGGCAGCCGCTTCCGCACAAGTTCGATCCTCGGCCAGGCAGTGACCCACAGGGCACAGCAGACCTCTCCTGACCTGCCCGCTGCTTCCCTCAGCTGTGTGTTTCACTTGAGCTGCCTGGTCTGCTCCCCACTCTGTCTCTGGTGAAACCTCTTATCCCCGCCCCCTGCACCTCTGGCCTCTACCCCAGTTTTGTATGCATACATAAATAAATCTTTACATATTAAAAAAAGATCCCTTGTTGTAAAAGTGTCAGTTATCCTGAATTTACTTTCTAAATTTAAGATAATATCAATCAAAGTGCAAGTAAAAGTTTTTGTGGGGATAGGCTAAGTACAATTGCAATAAAAATTCTATTAGTCTTTTTAACAGCTGGGAAAACTGATTCTAAAGTTCATTTGGAAGAATAAACATGCAGTGATTGCCAAGAAAATGTTGAAAATAAGGATAATGAGGGAGGACTTGCCCTGCCAAGATATAGCATATTATAAAGCGCCTATAATTAAAACCCTGTATTGCTGCACTACAAGACAGATCAGAAGGCCCAAAGACAGACTCCAGTATGTGTAATTACTTAGCATATAATAAAGTTGGCATTTGAAATCAGTGGGGAAAGGATGAATTATTCAATAAAGATGCTGGGGCAATTGATTACCTATTTGGGATAAAATGGCAAATTAGATTCCCGTATCATATCAGATACCAAGAAATTACAGATGGAGTTAAGAATTTGAAATGCAAACAATGCTATATGAGAGTTAAAAAAAAAAAAAGAAGCAGAATAGCATTTATCTGACCTTGGGGCATGAGGGGAAACTTTTGTTGGAATAAATTCTTTGTCCAATATTTTTCTTAGAGAGGTTTGAACGTTCCATATTCGACTATTTTTATTTTGAATCATTAACACACATTTAACCTTAGAATGTTCTAGATGTAACTTCATGATAGCTATAATCTCTTAAGGAATAAACAAGACTGCACATTAAAATTTTGCAGCTTGCCTCCACTTCTTAGAACTCAGGTTCTTTTCTCCCTCTTTCTTTTTGTTCTGTCTTTGACCACTGTTTTTAAATTCCTTTTATACACTTTGCTGTTGTTTTTTGAAGTGTATAGAGATGTCCACCAGTTTCAGATGACATTCAAGATGGTGGTCTCCGTACAGTCTGGACGAGTTCACTTTTTATGTTGTACAATCTCCAGCATCACAGAGGATAGATTACCTGCCCTCAGAGTCTCTCCTATCCTTTCGCAGTTTGTTGAAGGAATTAGTTGGTCATCTATGTCGTTGTCATATTTTAGTGTATTTTTGTTCTTATTTTTTTGATGGCCTCCCATGTCATTGAATAAGTCCCTCTGTTATCTGTATTTTTGGTAATTAGTAGCTGCACCAAGAGGCTTGAACTGACTCCAATTATTTTGGCAAGAGCATCTGGTGGACATTTAGCTGTAGGCGGGCGGTGTCCTTTTGTGATGTTGTAACTACCGGTGATGAGACCCATGATGCACCTGCTGGTCACTTTGCCGTTGCCTGTTCTGTTTTCTGGGCTGAATCTGTAGGAAGGTTACGAGTCGGTCTCTACGGCCTTGCGCCAGCCGCTGCCAGTCTGAAACCTAGAGATTGTGAAAGTAGATTTGCACAAAACTATAAAAGAAGATGTGAATGCTGTTAACATCAACTTTACTTTGTATATAGTCTCTGACTGTCCCTCTCGCCCAGGGCTACAGCCTCAAATAGTGGCGCCTCATCATAGAGGTGCTCAGTTCATGCATGTTGAGCACAGGTGCACGGTGTGTCCTTGTCAACTACTGAAGAGACGGTGGAAACATGGCAACTGCTGTCCACTGAGTGGACGCTGCTCCGGGTGAGGGGCAGGTGTGCTGTCATGTCCTGCTCACTGTCAGTCTCTGCATTCCCATCCAACACACACGCTCCACAAGTGTGGTTGTAGTATTGAAACACATGTGTTTTCTATGCTTATTGATTTAAACACAAGCCACCTACACTCTCTGGTGCCATATCTAAGAGAAAACGCTCTTTCCAAATGCTCTTTCCAACCCAAGACTTAGGCTGTCTTCGAGGGCTTGTTGTCTGAGCCCTGACCTTGGGAACCTAGTTCATTAAATTAACTTATTTATATTAAATATTTACTTATGTATGCACACAAGAACTGGGGAGAGGATCCAATAGAGACAGAGAGGGGAGCAGAAGAGGCAGATCTACTGAAATATACTGCTGAGGTGAGGTCTGCTGGCCCTACGGCCAGAGATTAAATGTACTTGGTGGCCGCAGCTTCACAGTGCTGCGACTTTACCCCTTGTGCCACTAGGGAGGCCCCCTAGTTTTGCAAGACACAGCAACAGAGTTGCCAGAAATTTGACTCCAGTAGGGACAAGGGGACAGATGTGTAGTCTGTGATTTTGGTCAAAGCCTTTATTTGTCATAGCATCTGAATTTAATGCTCCCTCTCCCTCCCCTCTCTTTTCCCTCTCTCCACACCCCCCCCACCTCCCACCCTTATTCTCTCTCTTCTGCAGTGTGCTGTTTCGTCGTGCACAAGCGGTGCCATGAATTTGTCACTTTCTCCTGCCCAGGCGCTGACAAGGGCCCCGCCTCTGATGTAAGTAACGAGCACTGGCCACCTCTGTGCACGGTCAGTGTGTCCTTTGGGTGAATGTGACACATAGACAAAGAATGTCAGGATGTTCTCATTTCAAGATGCTGGGGCGTCCTTACATTCTCCCTTGTTTTTCACTTTCATAAAAAAACCCAAAACAAACCACTGTGGGAGTCAGCGTGGCTGTACAGAGAAGCAGCTGGTCTCCTGCTGTGATTTTGCTGAGTGTCTTGATCTTTGTGGCAGGGGCATGAATTGTTGCTGCCACTACTGTGTAAAGGTGGTTGGCTTTGGTGCCAAAGAGGAAACCTTAGCATGCACTTGATAGTGTTGTTAGGGAATTCTTGGTTCTCAGACTAGGAGGAAGTGGGTTTCTCCTGCCGCTGTGTCTCCCAAGGTTTAACTACTGCTGGTGGGACAAGGGGTCTTGCCAGCAAAGCAGGCAAGTAATTCTGTTTTATTCATCATGAATTTATCTTAATATGGCTTGGGAAAATGTATCTGGCGGGGGTCTTGCATTTATGGTAGGGAATATTTTCTCCCTGCGTAAAGTTATTTAGTCAAATGAAAGATAACTTTAATTAAAGATGAAGCGAGTGACAATATGGGTGTTATATGGACATGATATGGACGTGACAGGTCTTGGTACAAGTTTGTCCAAAATTTGGGGTACATTGTCGATGGTCTCCCCAACAGCTATTTGAAGTCTTCACTATTTTCTTTCTAGTGGGGTCTTTGTATGTGCTAAAGCCTGGAAATACTTGCTGTGCCAGGTTCCCCAGTAGCTGGTAAATGAGCATCCGACTGTCCTTCTCAGGGGTACCACAGGGGAGATCTAGGAAAGACTTTGCTTTCTGCTAAGTCATCCTTTCCTTCATCCTATTGGGCATTTTGGGGGCTGGATATACTGCTGGGAGCTGTGGCAGCCCTTTTGTGCCAATGAGGGAGACATGGCTGATATCCTGAGCATGGTAAGATGCAAAAGGATCTGGGTCGCTGATGACTCAGAAGAACTGCAGAGTCAACTCTGAGTTAGCTTATCTGCAGACAGCACGAGGGAGACACGCAGTTCCTCTCGATAAAGTCTCAGTGTCTGAGATGTGCCTTGTATGCAACTGACATTGTCCTGATTAGGCTTTCCACCACCCACGCTCTTCCCTTGCCCAGTAATGAACTGCCTCTGTGGGGGCTCAAGTGCAGCCATCACCCCCTTTCTCTTTGTTACTGCTTGCTTCCTCCTCCTGGACTTTCTCCACGGGCCAGTCCTGTTTGTTGTCCCATGACCGGTCCTGCTTGTACCCCCTTAGACTTGACAGCTGGCCTAAGTTTGCCCGAAATGAGGGGGGCCTCCCTTCTGTCATTGCATTTGTTCTTCTCTTGCTGGCCTTTTATAAGTGGTCATCCTTGCCATTTTGCTACACGTAGGCATGTCCACCGTAACAGCAACACAAATACCTTAGAGCTGCTGTTACTGAACTCAGGGGGGTGTTGCTTGGTGCGAACCAGCCAGTTGACCAGACCAAGATGGAGCTTAAAGGTAAAGAGGGTTTTATTGAGTTGAATCAAGCAAGAAGACACTGTTCACAAAGCATTAGATCCTGTCTAAAGGGAGTTAGGATTTTTTTTTAAAGATTTATTTATTTATTCGTACAGAACTGGGGTACAGGCCAGAGATGCAGAGGGTGAGAGGATTCACCAGAGACAAAGCGAGAAGCAGAACAGGCAGATCGACGAAGTACACTGCTGAGGGGAACAGCGGGCGGCTCAGGAGAGGTCTGCCGCGCCATGTGGTCACCACCGGGGCAGGCGGGAATCGAACTCATGCGGAAGTGGCTTTAGTTTCTCAGTGCTGTGCTTTAACCCTCTGCGCCACCAGGGAGGGCCGGAGTTAGGATTTTTGTAGGACAGCTGGTGTTGGGACAAATGGGGGCAGGTGCAACACCCAGAATCTTGGGTGGTGCAGGGACAGTGTTGTGAGAATCAAATATGTACAGTATTTTCACCACCAGATCATGCCAGTGCCTGTCGCATGCTCAGAAAATAGTGGCCAAGGGCCCCCTTGCATGGGGACTTTATTATGACAGTCATGTTACAATGTCAGGTCACTGTGAGTCCTTTTGAGGCCAGACTCAATGCCCCTTAATGTAACAACTTTAAATAACTTTCAGGGTTTTTTCCTGGCAAGTTTGCTTTGGAAGTCTTCCACTTTCTGGGTAGCTCTTATGCTGTAGTTATTTTGTTTGAAAGTGTGACGCTTGGATTTAAAAGCTCCAAGCAACATTTTCCAAGCAAATGCCTTACTGGTCTGTGCGCATAGATGATAGGGTTGTCTGTCAGGTTCTCTCAGGTCACCATGATGGCCTTTTTAGTGCAATTACTTCTCTTACCTCAGGAAAACAGGCAGGGATGTTTTGGGGGACAGCCTGGCCCCACTCTGTAACTCCGAATGTTCATGCAGACTGGAGTTTGATACTCAAGGAGCAGCCCAGAGGATGTGTCTCCCACGTTATGTCTGTGGTTGACTTTGTCGTCTGAGACAGAAACTCAGCCGAAACTGCCTTAGGTGAAAAGAGAAACTCCGGGTCACTGAAGTTGAGAAGCACAAGAGTAGACCTGGCTTCCAGCACAGTGACTCAGCGTGCTGACATCAGGCCCTCAGGTATCTCTCCATTTCTTGGCTCAGCCTGCTCTGTCTCAGTTTCAGCTTCAGGATGCTTTTTCCTCCCGAGAGCATGATGACTGTGGCACTGTTAGTCTTCTGTTCTGTTGCCACTGCAGCCCCGGGGACAAGAGTCTCTTTGGGCCCAGGGTCTGATGGAGTGGGAAGGATGGGCATGCTGGTAGCAGGTCTGGTGATGTGACTTCTCCAGGTGAGGAGGGCCTGTGCGCTCACACCATGATATGAAAGTGAGGCAGAGGGGGGCCCCCGGGAGAAAGTAGAGAAGCGGTTCCTGCACTGTCTTCAGTCATAGGTGTGGATGGAGCCAGAGTTCCCAGGCTCAGGTACGCATGGCAGTGGGCAAAGTACTAAACTCTCTTTGTGCTTTAGATTCTGCAGTTGAAAAATGGGTAAGGGCATAGGCCCTACTTTACAGCTTTGTCATGAGTATCAAATATATACAATATCTGCAGAAATACAAAATGTTTTTCAGGACAGTGTCTGGGACCGAACAGGAGCTATGTCTGTGGAGGCGATGATGACAATGATAATGAATAACAGGGAGTACTTGCTGGGTAGGAAGCAAGGACAGATGCCCGCCCAGTAAATCTGAGGAATGACAGGTTCTCTATCTGTCCCCACCTGGCAGTTTTTTCTAGGAGCGTGTTGACTCCCTGAGTGGAGACCTCTCTCTGCATGACCAGACCAGTACAGCCAAGCAGTGCATTGGTGTGGGGGCGCAGAGAGCACCCCCTGCAGGCAGCACGCAGAGAACTTGGCAGGCTACTTGGAATGGCTCTTTCTCTGGACACAGTTCCAAGAAGGTCGGTTGGCACCAAGGATGATGGATTGATCCAGACTCCTGAGATGGCTTGACTTGGTTCATTGACCTTTTTCTATCCATGGTTGGATGCATGATTGAAGGTCTGGCCACACCTGCTCACCAGCCTGGTCAGTCCCTCTTTTCTGGCTGCCTCTGAGGCTCATGCAGTTTTGGAGGGGAGCCTTCCTCCTGTGTGACCTTGAGGGTCTTGTGTTCAGGCAGCTCATGGAGCAGAAAACATAGTCTCCATCCATGAAAAAGGAAAGTCTCTACCTCTGCTATTCCAGGCCCACAGAATTTTCTGGATCTTAGTACTTAATGCAGTTGGAATCCTTCTACAAATAGGTCCACATTTTGGAATGTAAGGCTGCTTGTCTCAATGAACCCTAATGGGAGCAGGCTGTTTATAAGGGCACCCTCCAGCAGAATACCTGAAAACATGGTAGAGTTTCTGGGTGACACTTCTGATCATTTCCTCCATGTCCTTAGTTTCACCTGGTTAAAACTCTTACTTCTGCTTCTTGGATCTTTTTGTTACTGGTATTACCGTAAGCATTACATATGCACGTTGTAGGTCACCCAACACTTAGGATTCTGGCCACATACAGAACCTCCCAAGAAGTCTTTGCAGAACCAAAGGGAGAGGAATGAGTCTCGGGGCTGGGACTAGGGTGAGCCAAGCCAGCTACTTGCATCAGACACAAATTCAGGGTGTTTTCATCTATGTAGTGGCTGGATGATGTAGGATAGCCCCACTCACAGTTGGTGGGCCACAGGCTGTCAGCCTGGGTGTCTTGATTCTCTTTTACCTGGCCTCTTATCCTCAGCTGTCTGGCTCTGGCTTTTCTGCTTGGTGGCTTCAGGGCCCCAGAAGAGCAAGAAACCAATGCGTAAGTGCTTTATCAACCTATGAATCTGGCTTGAGAATGCCCCACAGGACAGAGCAGTCTCATGTTCAAGTCCAGATTCAACGGATAAACACACTCCGGTTTTCATGGGTGGGGAGGAATCTGTGGTCATTGTGCTGCAGGTCCTGTGGACCTAAGGAGCCCCCGGAGAGCAGAACCCTGGAGGCCACCACACCACAGATGTTGGTGCTGTCTAGTCATAGGTGACTAAGCAGTCGCTACGTCAGTTATTGCCTCACCCAGGACCCGACTGACCTAAACCTCCAGCCATTAAAGGGAGCTGGATAACTTATTGATCATGCCCCCAAACAATGGTGTCGTGTGGACTCTGAAGTCAGACATTTATTGGGTTCAGGGCTTCACTGCTCTGTTGGTTATTAGTGGACCTGGGGCATGCCATTTTGTCTGTCATGACTTAGTTCCTTCACTATAAGTTGGGAAATTATTGGCTGCAGTAATTTTTTAATCCTTAAAATGACAAAGATGTAATGAAAACAGAAATGGCTTCAGAGAAAAAGGACTAAAAAGTCTTTGCATAAAAGTGTTACAATAGTGTCCATCACAGTGACCCTTTAATAGAAGTTGCTGAGGACATTCTGATCACTCCGTCCAT